TCCCCATTTCCTGGCTGTCTGCCAGGGGCCACTCCACATTCCATGCCATGGGCCTTTCACAGGCTCTCTCATCACGTCACACCAACCACAGGGCTCCTTATGTCCGATCCCTCTCACTCTTCAAGTCAGGTCCACTCAGGTAATTGTCATATCTAATGTCCACTGATTTGGGACTTTAATTACATCTGCGAAATCCCCTCAAAGCATTCTTAGGGCTTGATTGACTGATGGGAATCTTGGGAGGAGGCATCTTCAGAAATCTACTTCTCACAGTGAGGTTGGAGAGCTGACTGGGCTCATGCCAGCTGGAGCCTCGACAGCTGCTGTGAGAACTTTGGGGTTTTGTTCTGAGAGGATGGGAGCCGTTAGAGGATTCTGAGTGGAGGGTGGGGGCGCGAGGGAGACCTGTATGAGTAAGGTCACTCTGGCTGCTGTGTGGAGATGGCGGAGCTGCAGTGGAGCTAGGAGGGTCTTGCAGGGTTCAGGTGACAGGTGATGGTGGCCTGGACGAAGGTGGCACCGAATCCTGATCACTTACAGTTCCCAAAAAGCACCGTATTGTCTCCTGGCCCCATGTGTTTGCACATGCGTTTCTTATTGCCTGGGCATTTCTCATCACCACCTCCCCCACAGCTTCTTCCCTGCGACAAGCCCTGCGCGGCCCTAAAGCGTGGTGCAGATGTTGTAGATAGACTTCTTCCTGGGATTTGTCTCTCACTGACACCCTCCCTCTCACTTGAGTTGTTTGGGTCTTTTGCTCTGTCTTCCCCACTTGCCTGAGATCTGTCTGAGGACAGGGCCTTTGTCTTGGATCCCTGTGCTTCCAGGGTCTGGCCTGGTGCGTGGCATGTTATAGGAGCTCGGTGATGTTGGCGGGATGCCTGTGAGAAGTATGGAAGATACTGGGCATGAAGTAGACAGGCCAGTACTCTTGGGGAGCTCACCCGATAGAGGGAGAGACCGTGTGTAAACAAATACTATGCAGTGACCTGGGATGCAAACGCGATGCCACAGGTGCCAACGCTGTGAATTCCTCGTGTGTGTGTATTTTAGGGGGAGCGTCTGTCCTCCTCGGCCTATAGGTTTGCATCAAGTTTCTCACATTTCCCCCCATTACGTGAAGGAATCATTTTATTACCAGCGATTCCTTTTTATGTATATCTAAAAGATCATTTGTTTGGCAACTTTGTTAGCCATTACTTTATTCTAGTCTATTTAAAGAACTAAGCATTCATTCATTTAAAACTTTGTGTAACTTAAGACAGACATAGGGTACTTCTTTCCCTGTCTGTATTCCAACCACTTGGGAACGATCCCTGTTAGGGAAGTTCTGCTTGTGTATTCAAGATAGAGAACCACTTTGCTCAAAGCAGCAAACACTACAGATCAAGTGTCCTTTTAAGAGGGCAAAAATCATTAACCTGGTTACAGATGAGAAACAAGCTGAAATAATAAATATATCCCAACTAGACATCCCTCGGTATGCACTTAAGAAAGTGGGGTAGTGGAAAGAGTGACTTCACTGGAATAAACACAGTGATGCTACTTAAAACTCAGTACACTTAAGACAAAATAACAGGCGAGTCTGTTTTCACCCTGCTGCTTCCCTGCAGTTTGTGGACCGTGCAGTGAGGGGCCGCAGGCTTGCCTGGGGGCTTAGGGGGGGAGTGCTGGGGACGCCTGCCAGACTGCAGTTATAAAGAGAGAGGCACACAGCATCATGGATCCACATGGGTGGGGATTCATTTAAAAAAAACACGATGTAAAAAAAAAACACCAAAAAACTTTTTATTTATATTGCCAAGTTCCTCTGTTTGTTTTCCAGTGATCTCTGTTGGAGAATATAAATCTGTGGTTGGAGGAGCGTTTGCTGCACAGTCCTGCATGAGTAATTGGCCGTCCCATTTAAAATTGGTGTCCGGGGCTGCAGGGCCAATGGCTATGTTTTCTAGCTCATGTCTTCCTGGTTAGCTGGGATCGGGGCAGGCTGAGGAAGGAGACACAGCACTCTGCATTTAAATATCATTTTAGTTTGGTTCGAGGCAATTATTTTTAAATTTTTTGGATTTGTAACACACCCACTGGGTTCTGTTTGCGCTCCTTACAGTCCCTCCCCTGGGTCTCTGAGAAGGACCCACTAGGACCCTGGGAGCCTCACTAGAACCTGAGAACACTGGCTTCCCCTCTGCTCTTAGAACAGGGCTCCCTTAGCGGGGTTCATTTGGGGGCAGGGTCAAAAGGGGACTTCAGTTTACCCTTGAGCAGCGCCTTTGGTTTCCTTCTCTTCTGCCAAGAGTGTGTGTGATGGGGGATCAAACAGGAACCCGGGAGTCCATCCAAGGGGGGAGGGACATTTGGGAGAACACCCAGGCTCTCGGGCACAGGGTCTGTGGGCGGGAGAGTAGGGTGGTGGGAAGGGCACAGGCCTGCTTTGAGGTCTCTGAGTGGGAACCCTGCAGATCCTCAGCCCCCCGGCCCAGCACCTGCTCCAAGTGGATTATCCCACTCCCTTCCCAGGAGAGTTTGAAGGGTTCCCCTGAGGGAACTGAGAGAGTTTTCAGGTGCATCTCTAGAAAAAGGGAGAGAGGAATGTTTCAGCTTTCAGATGTGTCGGCAGAAGGAGTGTCCAACTAAATCTGTGAGAAGAGCAGGTCCTGGACACAATTCTAAAAAGAATTTCCCAAGAGAAGGACATCTGAGCATCTAAAGAAGAAAGTTAGAATTGCAAATCATGACTGTATGGTCTTGCTATTTGGCAGATATTCCCCCAAAATGAGTGAAATGAAGCTCAAAAAAAATATTTGACAGTGTTAGCTGCCAATGAAAAAATTCAAGCTTCAAGTGAAAACGAGAACTTTGGAACATTTATCTCCTCCACCATGCGCTCCCTGCCTCCCCTCCCTTCTCCAATTCACCTGGCATCTGCTAAGCAAGACAGTAAAATGATTTGCAAAACTGTGAGACAATGTCACTATTCTCATCACTGAATTTCTGTTAGGAAAAACATATGCATTATTAATAAAAATGCTACTTATTTAAACATATAATGGGTTTACTTTTAAAATGCAAGTTGATTAAAAATTTGAAAATGTCTCAGTTTTCATTTCTGTGACCAGTAATCAGTAGGTATAATTCGCGTGTACAGAAGCTCTTTGGGATCCTCAATAACTTGGTGCATAGAGAGATCCTGAGACCAAAATCATTTGAGAACCGTTGATTTAAACAGCACACATCCTGTACTTTTTATCCATGATCAGGACACATATGTATTAATAGAAACTTGAAGAAGATGAGAAATAGCCTTGCAGTGGTTCTGACATCTTTCTGCACGCACGAGCCTGGCCACTGGGCCCACGTAATTACAATAGCATACGGCTGAATGCCTATTAGCCTAAAAGTTACTTCAGTAGAAAACCAGGGGTTCAAGAACATAGAGGGGAGCACCATGGCCCAGGTTCCGCCAGCAAAGTTTCCAGTCATTGGCTAGGGGGTTCCACAGCGGTTTTTACATCTGCAGGATGCCCAGAGTACGGCCGGAGAGGCGGGGGCCGGGCCTAGCAGGCAGACTCAGCAGCTTTGGGGAAAACGCCAGCTTGCAGGCACAGTGAGTGCCTGGCCCCGGAAGTGCTGTATACCCCTCTGATGGGAGTGCACCCAGACCTGTGAGCTTAAGTTCTCCTCTAGTCCTTTGGTTCTACCACGGGCCTCATTTCAGAACCTAAGCTGTCCGCCCACAGAGAGCATCTCGGTGCCAGCCTGCCTCTGCCGTGCGCCCTGTGAGCTGCCCTGACCTGGGTAGTCAAGCCAGGCCCAGAATGGCCACCAGCCCCCAGACAGGCTGTGTGTCTGAGCCGTGGCTTTGCTCTGCTGTTCTAGGGAGCAGACCTGCCGGCTCCCGGAGTCTCTCCGAAGCTCCGGATGCAGCCAGACCTGCAGATGGCTGCTTGTCGGGTGTCCCCTAACTTCGGGTGCATGCATTCTTGATGTAGAAATGCTAAGTCTCCTCCTTAACAAGATTCGTGGTACAGGCTTCAGAGCCGTCAAGTCCTTTCCAAATGATCGCGCTGCGCAGGGCTGAGTTGTTTCGAAGTTTGGGTCTCCGGAGCAGCTGTCTCTGCACAACCTGGCGGAGGGGCCTCCTTGCCATAACTCTCCCTTGGCCTGAGTCAGATCCTCTTCCGCTTTCTGTGGTAAGAGCACTCTCAGTGCCATCACTGGTGTTTACTTTAATTGTCTAGTCAGCCCTAGAGTTTTATTATGATAAACACAAGCAGACATTAGGTAGGGAAGGAAAACAAATAATTGAACAACAAAGAAAATTAGGGTGAATTGCTCAGCTTGACACCAGGAGTGGGTGGCCAATCAAGTCACCCGTAAAAAAGAGAAAGAGGGAGAGGGAGGGAGAAGAGGGGGGGGGGAGGAGAGAGAGAGAGAGAGAGAGAGAGAGAGAGAGAGAGAGAGAGAGAGAGAGAGAGAGAGAGAGAGAAGAGAGAATATGAATATGGTTTAGAAGCAGAATTGGCACAAGCCCCTTTCTCTCTCATTGCTGGGTGCTGGGTGACCTTGGGCAGCCGCCTTGCCTACCAGAACCTCTTCTGTCAGGTGGATGTGACACAGCTGCCGGCTCAGGCTGCTGCCGCCTGGGCATCCAGCCCCGCTGTACTCCCACCCCATCCTCCTCCAAGCTCTTTGCTTCAGACTTGAAGGCTAATTATTATGCTCCAGTGAACCTAGAATCACCACATGGAAGGAGTCCAACGTTTGGACTGAATGTGACAGAATACACAGAGCTGCCAGACGGAGGTCATGATGGTGCCCCACCCCACCCAGCACACACCATGGCAGGAATCGGTGTCTGCTCTGCCTGCCTGAGCATTGTCTGGGAGGTGGGCCCATCTCTGTCATTTGGATGAGGTGGGTGAGATCTTGTGGGTACATTTCCCTCAGTGCAGGAATGCATGGTTCCCAGTGGTCCTCATATTTTTGTTTTCTCTTTTCAGGGATCATCAACTTCTGGACTCAACCCTGGAGTATGTGAAGGTAGGAAACTGGGATTTAACATGTAATCAGGGCCCTGTGCAGTGGATTTCCCATGTTTAACACAGGATTGCCAAGTAGCACTACTGTCTGGCTTGTGTAGGAAGCTGATGAGATGGAAACAACCAGGAGATAATTGACTGTATTTGGTCTTTAGTAAACTTTGTAGGGGTCTTACCTCATCCCAGTAGCATCTACATTCTTTTCTTATCCGAAACCCTTAGGGCCAAGTGTGTTTTAAAATTCAGAATTTTTAAAGAAATGTAATATATATATATATATATATATATATATATATATATATATATATATATATAGTTTTGTTGTTTTTTTTTTCACCACCCCAAAGGGCCCTAGGGTCAGCTCCCCTTCACCAAACTCATTACTTCAGCAGTGATGAAATGGAAGGATTTCACCCTAAATGGGATAAATAGGCCACAAAAGATTTTATGTAGTTCAGGTCATGTTTTGCCACCAAATGAGGTCAGGTTTGTTTGGCAGCCAAATGAATTATTTTTAAAGTCCCAATTTTCAGGGAATTTTGGATTTGGGATGGCGGGTGAGGAATTGTGAACCGTGTTTGTCCTCGGCGAGGACTGACGGTGCCTGAGGCTTTCTGCACCGTCCTTTCCCTCTCCCCCGCCGCCCCTGTCAGCGGGGAGTCTGGCACCGTGAGCTCTGCTCACACCTCCCTTCCCGCGGGGCCGACACTCAAACAGTAGATGCTTCTAAACAGTGTTTTCCTTCTGAGCAGAAAGAAAGGGGTCTTTTCACTTCTTCCCTCTGCCCTTCATCCCATTTTTCGGGTGTGTGTGTTTGCTTTGTTTTATTTTTGGAAGCTGTAATTAAATCTGGCACCTACTACAGAAAAGAGAACCCTGGCTTGTCACACCTAGTTTCTTTATTTATGACATCACGATTAATTTTTTTCTTATAATATTTTTTAATTATAATGTGAAGGAGGAAAACAGTTTCTTAAAAGAAATTAGCAGCTGTGGAAAATGGTTGGTTATGAGCACAGCACCCCATTTCATCTGCGTTAAGCAAAATAGAAGCTTATGGAAGAGAGAACCTAAGGAAGCTTGTGGAAACCTGGCACAGAGAGCACAAGGAGAGAGATTAATTTTCAGGAGAAATCATGGCCGGAGTTAGGATTGAAGGAGCTTGCCTCTGAGCAGCCACAGCCGCCCTCATTGTTCCAAGAGCAGCAGCATCCCACGTGGGAGTTCTCCGCCGGCTGCCTTTCCGTGGGCCCGTGCCTGCCCCAGGCTGTTGGCGTGTTGTTCCTTAGACCAGAGGATGGACGAACAGTAAGGAGTGGGGGGGTGGGGGGACTGTAGTAGAACCACTTGGTCACGTGAGGCAATCATCATGAAGTGTGCTGGGATGGGTCTGTGTCTGAACTAATGTCCCGGGAGCAATTGTGTGATCCTGAACCTGCAGGGCCACCAGGTCGGAATCCGGCCGGGGCTCTGCCAGAGGGGGTCTCCCTCCCTCCCGGATGCCTCCCTCATGCTCTCCTGCAGGTTGTGCTCTGCTAAGCGTGAGTGGACCCTGCTCACAGGCTGAGATTTGACTTGGCCGCAGCCCAAATTGCCCCACATTATGCAGCGTGGGCATCGCAGCAGCCCTTACGACCCCCCCACTGCCGTGTTTCAGAAATTGGCCGTCTCCACCGCAGGCTCACGCAGGCCGTGCTCAGCAAGCACCCCCCTCCCCTTACTCTGATAACTCAGCCCTTTCCTTTACAAAAGTCCCAACCTTTTAAGATAATCCAGTGATGAATTCTAAAACGAAATGGAGACTTTCGGTGTGACCTGTTTTAGTGTTATCTAAGCTCTTGCGTCCGACCCGTGAATGTCGGTCTTTATGGCTCGAGTCTAGTTGACTGAGGAGGCACTGGGGTTGCCGGTAGCTTCCTCCTGCCTCCCCAGCCTGAGACTCGAGGGAATGGCTCTTGGTGGCTCCAGGGGGCTCTCCTTTTCAAGGACTCGCTGAGGTGTTCTGAAGGTTGCTCTTCACTCCTCACCGTGTCTGAATCTGGTTGCATTAATGAGGTCTCTCCGTCCCTCCTGGACAATCACAGGTTATTGCTTTCTGACTTTGCCCTTGGTTTGGAGGGTGGCTTGAGGTTTATTCGTTGGGTGGACGTAGCATATCCCCGCCGGCTTCTGTGGGCACCGGAGCGCTGAGAGGACGTCCCAGGTCCAAGTGGCTCCCTGGGTCGGTCTCCTTGGGCCCTCAGCCCACCCGACCCTTTCCCAGGCGCAGTGCCCCCTTCAGCCTCGCCGAGCGGGCGTGCTAGCTGGTGCCCAGAGACCGGAGGGGCCGAAGGTGATGGAGGAGGTGGGGGAGCTGTGATAGGTGGGATCCAGGGGCCCTTCCTGACTGGGAGCTGCTTGTCTCCTACACCCGCCTGTGCACGCCCTGCCTCTCGGGCCTGGAGAGAAGCAGGGATTCTAGGAAAAACACGTTACACCCTGTGGGAGCCACTGGGCACGGTCAGATTTATCAGCCTAATGGACAAGAGTCCAGATGCCAACGTATTAGGGACTCGTGTGACCTCAGAACGGTGTGCGTGGAAGCACCCAGGTGTGGCGGACAGACAGCAATGCTCAATCGGTCAGAGCTCCGGCCCCAGGTTCTCTCTGCGTCTTCAGATGCCTCTCCTCTCCCCACTGGAGACTTGCTAGCTGACTCCACAAGGTTTGCCCGGTGCCCAGACGTAGGAGAGCAATCGGGGCCGCCTTGCCTCCTGGGGTCGGGGAGAGGAGACGTGGACGCAGACGTGTGGCGAGTAGGATGACGGGGCTGCCGGCTGTGGCAGGAGAACGCTGGGTAGAGAACGAATCCAAAATCCGTTTCTGTCCCGCTTGCACTCTGGGCCCTGCTGGCACTGCCCGCACTCTGCCCGCACACACAGTGCAGCAGCGGGAAGGCCTGGTTGCTAGGCTACCGGTGGCTCCCTGTGAATGGAGGGGGGTGTGAGGCTGGGGAGCGGGCTGTGTAGGGGTGTCTCCACCTCTCCTTCTGGCGCATCCCCCCCCCTCGCCCACCCAGGCAGCATCAAACTCCCCCCCACGCTCTGAATTCCAGGTCCGAGGTGATAAGACCTTGGAGCAGGTCCATGGGAGCTGGCGATTTAGGAATCTCACTCCCCACTATTGCTCTCTCCTTAATTCTGGCCATCAGAGGGGCGAGTTTTGTTTCCCTTTTTCTACCTTTTCTACCTTTTCCTTTTTTTCCTCTCCTCTCCCACATTTTTTTCCCCCTCACAGTAACTCAAAACAGATCGTTCTGCAAGTCTGATTTTAACTGTCTTTACAAACACGAGGTCCCTCTCTGTAACATAGTAATTGATTCTCTTCGGCTGAATCTGAAGCCACTCCTTCCAGGTTAAAAAAAAAAAAAAGGAGAGAGAGAGAGAGAACAACAACAACAGAAACCTCCACAGCGGCTCCCTTCCTCCTGCTCTTTAGCTGTGAGTGACTGGCCGGTGGTTTGCAGCTCTGGAATTTTCCTCTGCGTACCTAGCATACCTTTCCCTAGATAAAACTAGCTTGCTTTTTTTTTTTTTAATGGGGAAATAGCTCTAGGCAAAACTGTGTAGCTCCGTTCACCTTCTGGGTTCTTTCCCTGTTTATTGCTCCCCATTTGGTTTTTGCCACATTTTTACCCCCATCAGAGTTTGATGAAATTATTGTCCTGACTGTGAGTAAACGGTAATGGCTCAGTCAGTGTGCCAGCCTCCCAGGCAGCGTTCCATTCCGGAGGAGACTCCATGGAGGGGCGCGTGGCCCACTCCGTGTTCCGACAGCAGGAGACCTAGGCCCACCCGCTTCTCTCCGTGGTTCCATCTTCCCGGCAACCGGCAACCAGGGCTGGGCAACATAGCGCGGATCCCCTCTGCCTGTGACAGGCTGGAGGGGCGGGTTTCCAGCCAGTGGGAAGGGGGTCTTTACGAACCTGCCGCTCTTGGTCACAAAATCGCCCTATCGGGAGAACGAGGGTGGCATTCCATGTGGAGTCTCAGGCATGAAGACCAAGCATCGAACGGGCAGTTGCCCACCCATCATGTGACCTCCAAAGACTGGAGATTGGCCCCTACCACTTCCTCCAGTTACCTTTACTTTTGTAAGCCCTTCTTAAACCCGGGAAAGCTACTTTCATTTTTACTGTCATCCTAAGCCTCAGGAACCGCCCTCCTACTCCACCCCACACTTACTTTTATACATTTTTATCTTATTTCCTCTCCCCTCCCCCTTGACACCTATCTCCCTCTCAGGCCAAAGATTCCAATTCCTTGTAGCTTCTTTATACACGAGACTTACAGTCATTTTAATAAAGTGTCTGCTTTCTGGGATGTTTAAAAGTGTATGTCTTGCCGAAACCGGTTTGGCTCAGTGGTAGAGCGTCGGTCTGCAGCAGGCGTCTTCAAACTACGGCCCGCGGGCCACATGCGGCCCGCAGAGGAGTCTGATCCGGCCCGCCAGGTTTTTTGGGCAGTGAGTGCAGCCGAGGTGTTACAGTAGGAATTAGTAGTTCATATAGTCCGGCCCTCCAGCTCTCTGAGGGACCGTGATCTGGCCCCCACTTTAAAAAGTTTGAGGACCCCTGGTCTGCGAACTGAAAGGTCCCAGGTTCGATTCCGGTCAAGGGCATGTACCTTGGTTGCGGGCACATCCCCAGTAGGGGGTGTGCAAGAGGCAGCTGGTCGATGTTTCTCTCTCATCAACGTTTCTAGCTCTCTATATCTCTCCCTTCCTCTCTGTAAAAAATCAATAAAATATATTTAAAATAAATAAATAAATAAATAAATAAATAAATAAAAGTGTATGTCTTGGGGTGGAGGGGATTAACTAGGGCAGAGCTGGAGGATTGTCCTTTCAGAAGAAATGTTTATTATAAAGGAAACTGGAGTGACTATTTTTTTTTTTTCCAAACTAGCCAGGGCCTAGGCAGCCCATTTTGGTGGCCAGGCTGTGGACAGAGGCCTGCTCTCC